GATACATGCCACCAGCAAAAAATATTTTGTTTTCTGCTTCGAACCTGTAATTAAATTCAGCACCCACTTACTAAATTTTTCAACTTCTTGGTTTTGTCAATTAGACGTACAGGAGCAAGAAGATTGATGATCCCAATCAAGGTAACATATATGCTCATCTATACATGTGGAACAAAAACTAGGGTTTGTCATGTGGTTTATTGTGTGACCTCTCTCTCTCTCTCTCTCACATGGGTTAGCTGTACTTTTTTGACAGCTATTTCAGATCAAAGGCTCGCTGTTGATGGTGGGGATCACCATATTTATAACCTTAGCCAGCTTCCCATGCTACAGGGTTTCAATCAAAGGCCCATTTCTAGCTTAAGGCATATATATATATATATATATATATATAATGTGTAAACTCTTTCTTTTTTTCCCACTTCTCCAATTGCAAATGCTCTATGATGAGAACAGTTTCAATTCTTTCTTTTTTATTCTTCTTTACTTTTTTGAAGATAAGGAGATGCTTTATGAAGTCGCCATGGAAGCTCGAATTATAGTCCTTACATGGCTGTGGCTGCATTTAATGGAACCAGACATGGAATTTATGGTTCAACATTTGAGAGGATCTTTAGGAGCAACAATGTCCATTTACTTGGTCATATGGCTAGTTCTTCTTTTCAGGCACAAAGTGCCCGGAGAAACCTCGAAAATCCGGCAGAGCCTCCATTGTTTCAAGCTCCTAGTTCATGGCGAACTTCATATAGAACAAATTCAATTGAACTTAACTCCATCACAGAGCTACAAGATAGAGAAAAAGATCAAGTGCATGGTTCTCTTTCCCGAGACAAAAACTGGCTGGTGAATCTGGAAGAAACAAGAACGCAAAAAAGAAAGGTTTTAGATTCAGATTGTGATCAAAATTTGAATCTCTCGCTGAAAATGACACCAAAACATGATGTTTTTTAGAGAAGTTTGAAGGACAGTAATGTTGATAGTAGTTTATCACTTTCTTTGTTCTCATCTTCAGCCTCAAAGTCTAGCAGATTAGAAGAAAGTGACGGTAGTAGAAAACAACCAAGAATGGCAAGTACTCTAGATCTGACTCTGTGAATGAGACAAATTCTAAGTGAGATTTTGAGGTACTTGTGGAAAAATTATTGTACAGATCATGTCATGTACCTACATACATGGTAATACCACTACTTTGTTCTATCATGATCACTGTGAGAATCAGTGTCCTGATATTAGCCTCAATTTGTGAATATCTAGGACAAGATTAATATTTTTATGATCATTGGGCAATGGGTACTCAGTCTAGAGCAGGTTTTGTTTTCTTGAAGAACTTAAACAATTGATTTGTATGAAATTTTTTTTTACTATGTTATGCCTTTTCACCATGTTACTGAAGAAGACAATAGTTAATCATAAGCATTCTTGTCATCTTGGAGACAATTACAAACATTTATATCCATTCAAATTCTCTAAATCTTGAAAACAAGAATCCCACTGGTGAAATTGGTATTTTGGCTCAGTGTGGATCGAAGCGGTGTAAAATATAAACATTCGATTCAATTGTACATGATACCGTGTCAATATTGACACACTATTAGAAAGTAGGATCAAATAATGATAAAGGCATGCAGAGTAAACCAAGCATATGTGCCTTGTTATTGAGGTTGTGTGTGACAATGTGTTAGTGATAACATGATATTATTATTGTATTTTTACTCGTAAAACGGGAATTAGAAAAGAGTGAAAATTTGTATCTTCTAATTATGGGCGAAAAAGAAGAAGAAGAAACTAGAAGTTGCTTTTAACTCATTATTATCTCTTATATTCATCATTAATTTTTGAGAATTTTAACCTCAAATCTCCCACACCTCACAAGACTCATTCACCAACATAGTAGAATGACTTTGTCATGCCAGATTTGGAATTTACACAAGTTTTTGCATATTTAAATCAAGTTATAAGTAGAAGCTTATCTTGCAATTTTTTTTTTCTGATTATGGAATCATTGATTGATTCATAAATTTGGAAAAACTCGATATCAATCTATGTTGTCCCTACGAACTTTTTTAATCACAAGATGTATGACTTCTTCCAAGAAACCCGTCACAAGTATGTTCAAAGAGCAACTCCAAAATGTTTTGTTACTGCAGGATCTGAAGAAAGTCAAATATAAGAGGAGAAGCATCATAGAACCAATATTGTTAAGGATAGGGAGATTGGAGCAAGCACATTGCAAAGAAAGTCAACAAATCAATGGTTGCTGACTTAATCGATCACTATCATTGATTTAACTGTGAGTGTTATTATTTATTGGAATTCACTACCTGATTTAATAGTTATGATTGATTAAGTTAACAAATCAAGTTATTATTTAAAATCCAAGTGACAATAACGCGATGGTTTGTAGATAACTCATCATTAAAGTGTGTAATTTTGATTCAACATGACTACCCGATACAAATTATAGAGACGAACTAGACATGCTATTAGTGAAGTAGAATAAAACAATTTTAAGCCGATTTTACACGACAAATTCATTTATTTGGTAAAGAAAATTGTTGATAATTTTTTTTATTTTTGGTTTGTTTTGTTTTTACTATTCTATAGTATGAAACCTTATATTTACCAGATTCATATTGTTTTTCAACAATTTTTTTTTAATTTTTTAATAATAAATCACCTCCCTTGTATTTATGATAATCTATATACATCATATGTCATGATAATGTCTCCTCACTAATTAGGCGATCGACATGACTAGTGTCACACAACGTCAATGCCTTATAAAATGCGTGTGTACCGATGAAAGTCACAAATGTCATAAAAAATAGAGTAAACGAGGGTCGTTGGCGATGCGACTTCAATTGGCATATAAGTAAGGACTAGTGAAAGGCAATGACCTGAGTTTAAGAGTGTGATATATATCCATATTTGCCAACTTAATTTTGCTACGTCTTGAAGCCTATTTCGAGATCATTCAACTCTGAGGAATTAGATTAGAAAAAGCAATCACAATCTCAATCTCGTTCAACAAAATACGATGATAGTTGTAGAATTTAAGATATCTAGAACCACGCAACAATCCGACTTTGGAGTAAAGATTTTAGTCACGTTACATATGACATGCCCACCACGGGCAGAGCCCAAAAACTGGCTTAAGAGCGGACACAACCTATATTTTATATATTTATACTGCAAATAAAAGTACGTTACATAAGATTCACTATTTTGCCTGTNTTATGGGTTAACTGTACTTTTTTGTCAGCTATTTCGGATCAAAGGCTTGTTGTTGATGGTGGGGATCACCATGTTTATAACCTTAGCCAGCTTCCCATGCTACAAGGTTTCAATCAAAGGCCTATTTCTAGCTTAAGGTATTTATATATGGTGTGAACTCTTCCTTTTTTTCCCACTTCTGCAATTGCAAATGATCTGTGATGAGGGTAGTTTCAANATTTTTAAATGATCATGTTACTCTTAATAAGATATATATAAAAAAAATGATTCTTTTTTCCAAAATCTCAATATTAATACACATCGATAACTTCATTTATATAATATTATCTCCAGTGCCAAAAAATTAATATATATATATCTTTTTTTCTTTATCCACCATACAAATAATTCAAGTATGATAAACATGAGATAATATCTAATTTAGTTATATAATTAAATTTGGGATTAATAACACTTTTAGTCTCTAAAATATACATTTTTTGTCAATTTAATCCTCACTGTATCAACTTTATCAATTTGGTTCCTAAAATATTCAATATGTGTCACATTGGTCCTTAATCAAATAATCCGTCAAGTTTTTTGGCAGAAGTGATCACATGACATTTTTTCAAATGATATCATGTGCCCAACACGTGATCATTCCATAAAAAATTTAACGATTTGTTTATGTAAAGACTAAAATAACATGAATTGAATAATATAGGGATTAAATTGACAAAATTAATTTAATGAGGACTAAAATGATAAAAAATATATATTTAATGGATCAAAAATGCTATTAACCCTTACATTTTTATGTATTTTATTAAATATTTTAATGAAAACTTTCACGTGCAACGCATGTGATGCATTGCTAGCATTAATAAAATAGTATAGATCATAANCTTTAAATTTTTATGTATTTTATTAAATATTTTAATGAAAACTTTCACGTGCAACGCATGTGATGCATTGCTAGCATTAATAAAATAGTATAGATCATAAATCTAAATTCAATAAAAATTTAAGCTATCCACAAAATATTAAAGCCTAAGGTCAAAATAATTTCTAAATGAAAAAAAAAATTTGTTACCAAGCAATACTACTTTTTACTAAATGGTTATATTAAAGTTACCCGACAATTACACTTGGTTCACTAAAAAAATTAGATTAAATCAAACCCTATTGAAGGTGTGTAGATATAGTCTCATAGAATTGCCTTTGTAGGATTGATTGCCCCCCACACACATCTATATAATAAAATAGGAGTGTGTTTGAATTTTGTCTCAGTCATATTTTTTTCCTCAAAATCATCATCAATCACTTATATCATCCATCATCCTTTTGTCAGACTCAAACGTCAAATTACATCACTTATTTATATTATATGTTTAATCATTTATATATTTCTTCCCTAAAAATATCACATTACTCATTTTTATCATATATTTAATTATTTAATATTTAATTAATTTGTAGTTAATATATTTTTAAAAAAATTAATATAATAGGATCGATTTTTTGAACGTTCAAATTTTATATTTTATCATGCCTTCAGGCACGGGTTATGACTAATATATAGAAATAGTAGATAAATTATGTTTAAATTTAAAATAAGTTTGTCTCGAACATCGATTTATCTTGATTTGCCCTTACTTTAATTTTTTTCTCCCAATTTATAAAGGTAAAGCGCTCTATTTATATTAATTATATCATATCCCATAATAAAAACTCATTAAATCAAAAATGATCAAAAGTTGATACATATAATATATATATATATATATATATATATATATATTTATATA